AGAGTCAAATCCAGTTTGTTTAGCACTGAGCTTTTCTTTGACTGGAATAAGAAGCACTAAACTGATAACATGTCTCAGCTAAGCACAGTAAATGATTAGATAAAGATGGAGCTGATGAGATTTGCTCATCCCTTCCTAAAGTTTTCATACCAGAGTTTCCTCCAGAAAACCAGATCAGCCTGGTGGTACTAAGGAGGTCCACCAGTTGCCCCACTGCATTTTTGTGTTAAAAAATGTTAAAGAATTAACAAAAAAAAAAAAAAAACCCACCAACAACAAAGAAAATAGTGGTGCAGTAAATAAAACTAGTATCTCTGTAGGTTTTGTTGGCATAATCAAATGCTGTTATCTTTTTTAAATAGATAATTGTCTGCTAATGATTACTGATGTTTTGTTGTATATAAACCTGGCTTAGCCTGTTCTTTGCTCTCAATGTTACTGGTGTATTAAAATAAATAAGCAACACTAAGCCTGGTGGCCCACCAGGCTTATAATATACTGGGGAAAGCCTGCATGCCACTTGAGTTCTTTTTTTCTCCTCCAGATTATTTTATTTGCTGTAGCTCTTCTGGCATAGCGCAACTTAAAATATGCAGTCGATACGGAGGTATATTCATAACCACTCCACCATTAGGAGGTTTACATGTTTTGTCATATTCCTTAATTGAAATGCATTAGCCCTTATTTTAGTAAATAAACCTGAATTTTCCATCGACTACTTAGGTCAGTTATAAAGCCAGGACTTTGCGTGGCCATCCGTCCACAGTGTGAGCGAGCGCAGGTTGGTCGATGCAGACGGGCTGTTTTTCATTTTGTAGAGCAAGATGTTTTTATAGATAAATAGCATCTTAGAAAGAAATAGATTCCCATTTATTGACGACGTTTCTCCATTTGTATTAGCTGATTAGAACCACAAACATGGACCGACTTTTCCTCAGACGTAAAGCATTCAGCCCAATAAGAAGATAACCAACCCTAAAAAAATCACAGCCTTTGGGCCTGTCTTGTAACGCAGTTGAACAAAACCTTTGTCCTTAATTTTGTACCTGCCTACAATGATTTAAAATTTTACTTTGGTTTATTATTGAGCAAATAAAACAAAGTAAAAAGCACTCACACCTAAGTTCTTTGAACCTAACAGTTTTGTCTCTTAGGGCAGAAAGCTTGGACGCCACTCTTCAGTCTCTTTAGTTTTCTTCTCGACTCACCCCCATGTGGCGGCTGTTGGGGTCGGGGTCCAGGTAGTGCGGGTTGATGTTGAAGGGGACCAGGCCGATGGCATTGAAGGTCGGCGGGAAAACGATGGGCATGTCATTGGTGGTGCTGATGCTGATGGTCGCCACGTTGGTTCCGGCGCTGGAGCCCATATACGGGACGCCGTCCTGGAAGGGGAGGAGGCGCAGAGAACGGGAAAACATCGCTAGATGTCGTGTTGCGTTCTGCAGGACAGTGTCTGCTCTGTGGGACGTGGCTGTGTGTGCGCTCCACCTCCAGGACTCGCTTCCTGATCTCCGTCACCACGTTGTTGTCGTAAAGGCTCTTCAGCAGCCGGAAAGTATTGCCTCCTCCTGCAAGCAGATGTGTCCGTTAGCGTCTCCGCGGATGCGGGGTCGGCGCGGTCGTAGGGAAAAGGTTATGGCAGTGAAGTGTTTAGAAACAACGCTCGCAAAATTGTCAAACCTGCAGAGTAATTTTCTGAACCATTCTTCTCTCATTAGTTCTTGCACTTAAAAAAGTAGTGGGTTGTTGTTTTTTTGCAAATTCACTTCCTCTGTAGGAGCTGACTGCAGCTTCCTGCAATGTTAGAAGGGCAGATTTATGTGTTTTCCTGCCATACAGCGCCTTTTTATAGCACAATCAAGTAAATATGTTAACTTCAGTTGTTATAAAAATGCTGCATATTAAATATGACTTAAAAGAAATTTAAGGTGGTCATTTAAATTTGGGCCTCTGTCTCTTTAAGAAGCTTATGCTCTTTCAGAAACTCCGCCTTCAGGAAGTCATCACAACACGGCTCCTCTATTAACCCTCTGACAAGGTTTTTAATCAGCGTTGTATTGAGAAGTAGCTCCTGTAATGAGCTCAGCAGTTGGAGCAGCTCCTCTAGGTGTTTGCCAGTTGCTGCTGGCTATTCTGAAGGAGTTGCTTGAATGGTTGGTCAATATCAAGTGATCAACCATTCAACTGGTCACTCTGAAAAGTCCATCACCTGATAAAACCTTTTACAATCACTGCATGTCGGGAGAAGAGAAGGAAGCAGAACTCGGGGGGGGAGGGGGAGACATGATAGAAATAACGAAGGTTAAAAAAGTTTTTTTTAAAAACAGCAGCCGATGCTGTAGGGAGGAGAGCGTCACCGCAACTCGCCGCCTTCAGTTCTCACCAATAAAAATGCCTTCTGCCTTTCGGACGGCTTCGACGGGGTCTGCAGCCTCGTGGATGCCGTCGACCTCATAACCTGCCGCAGTCACAAACAGACAAGTCAAAACAAGCGTTTTCAGAACACAGCTGGAATGAATTTCCACTCGGCTTCACTAAGGAACACAACAGACCGTTGAAGACTGTGATAAGCAATAGTTTAGAGGTAATGGTGGCGTCCAGCCCTACCTAAGGATCTGAACTTGTTCCTGGCAGTCGTTGTGTAGGCATCTCTGTCATGGAGGGCATAGGGAACAAACAGCACTCTCTTCACATTCCTGAAGGATGAATCAACACATATAGTAGTATATAGCTATATGGAGTCGTCCTTGTATTGATGACACCCTGGGCAAACCCCTCCTTCTGACGCCTCGCCGGCAACTAAACAAACACTCTGCGAAAGCATAAAAACTGTTAGCATGTGATTTGTTAGCGACTTTAATAACTAAAAAGACATTGACATGATATTTGAGAAAGACAATAAGCTGTGAATCAGATGCCAACTTCAGCGCCCTCAGCCACCCTTTGGTGTACGGCAGTGTTGTACGGAGGCGCCCATTCTCCAAGCTTCTCCAGCGCCAAGAAAAATAAATGGCGCTCCAGGATTGGTCGCTTTGCAAGCGAGGGCCAAGAGTGCGTCAAGAAGAGCAGCATTTTTACTTTGGTGTGTCATCTTCCTGAACTTGATTTTCTGTTGACTAGATTAGATATGCACTACAAACAACAAAAAAGAGAAACCACAAATATGCAAAATTTCCACTACTTTACTTTGCAAAGAGCGAATTGGTGCTCATTGATTTTACCACCAAAACATATAAAACACATCCCTCCGTTTTTCAATTTACATGAAGGTATTACCAGTACTGAACTCGAGACAACTCGAATGCAGCATCAGCCACAGAAACAACTCAGTGTTTCTCAGTTTTTGTTGTTGCATTTCTCTTGGCGCCCCTCTGTCCCATGCCACCCAGACCACAGAGCCAAATCACCCATAACAAAAACCGCCTCTAAATCTGGAGGCTCATCAGCTTGAGGACTTTTCTAAAACAATTTGCTTCCCTTTGACATTCTGCTGTCTGTTTCCTGCTGTCCAGCTAACATACCCTGTCTCTTTATAGTTTATAGTTGAGTCTCCTCGGCTGTTTTCTCCCGGGTTTCTGTTCAGACATACTTTCCAAAGAAGCTGGAGATGTGCTGCTGACAGTGGTCCAGGTAGCCGCTGCCGTGCAGAGTGGAGTTGGACACCAGCAGGAGTCTCCTCTTCATGTCTCACCGCGGAGGGTCTCACGGAAACACCGAGCTCAGCTGGACTGCAGGTACAGTCCAACGTTTCGGGTCAGAGTCCAGAAGATTCTGCTGACTGCGGCTTTCCAGAGAATCAGAAACGCCCTGGAAGAAAACTCTGCTTTCACTTTTTGACTTTACGTCTCAACGACGTTCAGCAGCTGCTGCTTGAAGTAACTCTGAATGTTTTCCCACTGACACACATCCGGGTTAGTTTTCTCTTTTGTTTCCATGTTTCATTTATGGTTCTTTAAAACAGGTTTTAAAATAACTTTGTTTTTCGGTTGCTTTATTTATTTCCCACACGTGATAATCTTTGGCGTATTTGTGTCAAAATAAAAGTTTCACAACGAAAGCCAGCATTTTTAGGCCATCTCTATCTATATAAAAGCATTATTTTTTCTGTCGATGTATCATCAACAACAACAACAACAACAATAAAATTTTTTAAATGAAGGATTTAAACAAAAACGGAAGCAGTCTTCTTGAAGTCCTATCAAAATAAAAGCCTTAACAGTATCAAAGATTTTTTTTAAACGGATCCTTATGTGTAAAATTAAATCATACAATTCAAAAACACGTGCTCCACTCACGCTACAAATAAACATAAATCTTGATCTGAGTATGAAATATTGCATCATAATAACGAATATTGGACTTAAAAAAAGATTAAAGCCTTTTGACATAAATGTTACATTTCCTATTTTTTGAGGAAAAAATAGCCTGTTGTAGGCTATGTAAGTCATAACCTACATTAAGTACCTCATGAGGCATATAAGACGAAGAAAAATACATAAACAAAAATTTTATTTTTTTAGAAATTCATTTGGGCAGATAGTCTTTTCACATTGTCATAATGGTATGCATGTGTTGAGGAAAGAGATTATTTTGATATAATTTAGAATAATGCTGTAAAATTATTCCAAAATGTGGAATAATTTCACAAAACGTGGAGAAAGTGAAGCTGTGAAAACTTTCTGGATGCGCTACAAAAACACTCGTCACTTTGGATCAGTTTGCTTATTTTAATAATTTAACTCACACTACAGTTGCCACTTGACCTACCATTGCTTGTAACTCTTCTCGGTGCGTCACCATCTCTATAAGCTGTTGTTCTTGCAAAAATCAGTATTTTAATATGCAGTCTAATGTGGAGATCTTTTCAACACTTTCAACCCCACAGAGCTTGACTTAAAAAAAAAAAAAGAAAATAGAATCCTAAAGGACACAGAAAATTAAATGTGTGGATCTGAAATTTACACTACGACAATTTTATGAGGGACCGAAAATTAATTTTTCCACTAACAAAGTCATGTAAGAGCTTTTTCTAAAACTGCACATACAGAGGAAATTCTCTAGAGGGCGCCGTATCTCCGCCTGAAGAGTAGAAACACAACCGGAACCATTAAAAAAAAATAACCCGGATGGAAAAGACTGAACACAAAGAACGGAAGTGAGGGACTGAGACGCTAAGCAGACTTGCTGCAGGAGGAAAGCCGACAATATCACCGTGAAAGTAAGAATAGAAACCATTTCTGTGGGAGGAAAACAAACCCGCGTGCTTTCAGCTTCACTAAAATGGCGTCCAGATTAGAGGAGGATCTCTGCTGTCCGGTCTGCCAGGACATTTTCAAGGATCCGGTTCTCATCTCATGCAGCCACAGCTTCTGCAAGGAGTGTCTGCAGAGCTTCTGGAGCGTCACGTCCAGGCGTTCGTGTCCTGTTTGCAGAAAAGTATCCGCAGAAGACGCTCCGCGCTGCAATCTGGCTCTGAAGAAATTCTGCGACACCTTCTTGAAGCAGAAAGAGTTCAATGAAACTCTTTCTGATTGGTGCGTCGTGCAGCCCGCAGAGACCTGCAGTCTGCACGACGAGAAACATGAACTCTTCTGCCTGGACCACCAGGAGCCGGCGTGTCTGGTCTGCAGAGATTCGGAGAGACACAGCCAGCACAGGTTCATGCCCGTCGGGGAAGCCGCTCGGCAGCACCGGAAGGACCTCCAGGAAACTCTGGAGTCCTTGAAGAAGCAGCTGGGGCTCAAGAAGGAGGTTCAGGAGGACATCTGTCAGGTGATGGAGCACATGGGGTTCCAGGCGCGCCGCACGGAGACGCAGATTAAAGAGCAGTTCAAGAAGCTTCACCAGTTCTTAGCAGAGGAAGAGGAGGCCAGGCTGGCTGCGGTGAAGGAGGAAGAGGAGCAGAGGAGAGACCCGATGAGGGAGAAATTGCGGGCTCTGTTCAGGCAGATGAAGACGATTTCGGACACAGTCAGAGCCATAGAGGAGGAGCTGAGAGCCGAGGATGTCCTCTTCCTGTGTCACTACAAGGCTGCGGTGGAGAGAGCGCAGCGCTGCGCCCTGCTGGAAGATCCAAAGCTGCACTGTGGCGCTCTGTTTGACCAGGCCAAACATCTGGGCAACCTGGCCTTCAGCATCTGGAGCAGCATGGAGACCATGGTGTCCTACACTCCCGTGGTTCTTAACCCGAACACGGCTTATCCAAAACTCCACCTGTCAGAGGACCTGACGACTGCGACCACAGGAGAGACGCAGCAGCTTCCCAAAAACCCAGAGCGGGCCGACCTCTGGTTTTCCGTCCAGGGTTCTGACGGCTTCGACTCGGGAAACCACAGCTGGGACGTCGACGTCGGCGACAGCAGAATGTGGCTGGTCGGTGTGATGGAGAAGGAAGGCGAAGAGTGCCGGTTCTTGGTGACGCAGCTGCGTAACGGCGTATACACAGCGGAGGGTCCGTCGGCTCTTTCCACGGGTCTGTCAGTGCGGAAGAAGATCCAGAGGATCAGGGTGGATCTGGACCGGGACGGGGGGAAGCTGTCCTTCTCCGATCTGGATACCAACGAGCACATTCACACCTTCACACACACCTTCGCCGACAAGGTTTTCCCACACTTCGTCACCGATTGCGTTGTGAGAATCTTACCGATGAAGGTCTCCGTGAGCAAACGGCGGCTCAGAGGTTTTCGACGTGAAGAAAACAGAGTCCAAATCATGGAGCCTTATTGGTCAGATTAAGATTTTTCAAATCTGGCCTCAGATTCTAAACTGGATTTAGATCTGAGGACTTTCTAATAAACTAGAGAGTGGGGGGATTTGAAGATGGTAGTGGTCTATCTTCAGGTTTTATGACAAACGACGATGTTCGCCTCTGTTTGCTGCCTTCTGATTGGTTTAAATGGCAGTTTCTAGTTTGATTTTCTAGAATCTGTTTGTAGATCCTTTCAGTAAAGTCCAGAAGTTGTATTTGGATTAAACTAGATGACCCTATGATAAGGGCTGGCTGCAAAAACACAAAGTCCTACAAAGTAATTTTGGTCTAGAGAGTCCCGTGCAAATATCTTAGTACACTTAAAATAAGATAAAACTAACATACAAGTAATTTCTTAGCGATATACAGAGGCTTTTAAGAAAACAATTCATTAATATGGATGAAAAAGTTCTCCTTCCATTGGCAGATTATTTCACTTACAACAAGACATTTTTCCCATCTTATGTTCATTTATCTGGGTTGTGCTGTGGTGGCGCAGGGGTTAAGCACAACCCACATATGGAGGACTTAGTCCTCGACGCAGCTGTCGCAGTTTCAATTCCCGGCCTTGGCGACCTTTGCTTCATGTCTTCCCCATCTCTTATTACCCACTTTCCTGTCGATTAACTATCAAATAAAGGCCACTAGAGCCAAAAAAATGTAAAAAAAAAAAAAAAATCTTCATTTATCTGCCAATGGAACAAATACTTTATCATCCATATTAATAAATTATTTTCTTAAAACAAGCCTCTATTTCTTTCTTGAAAGTTACTTTTAAATTAATTTGTCTCATTTCAAGTGTACTGAGAAACTAGACCAAAATTACTTTGTAAGGTTTTGTGTTTTTGCAGTGAAACAACAAATATTTCTCTATCATCTCGCATTAGTTTGCTGGATTATCTTGAAAACCTCCGAGGGAATTGGCTATTTTTCCAGCTGTGGAAATATAGACACTAAACAAACAGGATTCTAGATAGAAATATGTTCCCTAGACCTTTTGGGTTAATGAACCTTCCTATATTTTATAGGAGAAAGCTTTTTTAAATCCTCCAGTTTTGAGAGGTTTTTCTTTTTTTCTTTTTTTTCTATTTTTAGCAGTTGTATTAGGAAACTGTAAAATAAAAATGTGATATTGTTGCAATTAAAACAATGTTTTAGTGTTTTTAAAAGTTTTGTTTGAAATAAAAATGTTACTTTTTTCTTGGCATGCTGCATCTAACTTTTTTCATCTAAGTTTACCAGAGTATTTTGCGTTTGCTACAAAACAGTGACAATAAAAAAATAAAATAAAGATTCCAGCCAAAATTTTGCGCAAGGTCACAAAACTTGGTTCACAACGACACATCCTGATATACAAGTATAAAATATTTGTGACTAATTTGTGCCCATAAAACACATATATGGTGGAATCTGGGAGAGGAGGAGCAAGTTTATTACACAATCACTGATAATTGGTTATTATTTGCTAAGATGTATTTGTGAAGAAACCGAAGTCAAATGCAAAGATTAAAATAATGGTGTCAGATTGTAGCTGTAGATAACACAACCAGAGGGGCTGGTCAGTTAGGAGCCCCCTGTCAGCCTCATCCTGCCCACTGGGGAAGTCCACTGATGGTCCTACAAGATGGCTGCATGCTGCTGGACGCGCTGGACCAGGATCCCGGTCCTCCTGACAGCCGGTGAGTGTCGCTCAATGCCAGCTGAAACACCACATTTGTTCCAAATGCAGGTTTGATTTACAGAATCCTTAAAGCAAATCATACAAACCAGCCTTTGCCGTCGTATTTACAGTAAAGTTTAAATTGTTGGCGTGTTGAAGAGAGCCAGACTTGTAGATTGACTTTTCTGTCTAATATGATCACTTAGAGGACCAAAACAAAACACGTTGCTTTTGAAGAACTATTCCTCACTTTACACATTCTCGCACTTTAAAAACAGAACTATTCCTCACTTTACACATTCTCGCACTTTAAAAACAATATATATATATATATATATATATATATATATATATATATTTTTTTTTTCATTCTAATCTCTTCTGATTAGAATGAAATCAGAGGATTTCATTCTAATCAGAATGAAATCCTCTGATTTGACACACGAAGCCAAACTGAGGTACCAGCTCTTGTGTAAAACATCCTTTTTTTCCTGATTTCTATTCATGTCGGCCTCCAGGGAAACCGATATTTTCCCTCCTCCTTATTTTTTCCGCACACTTAAAAGTTTCAGTTTGTCAAACAACCTTTGGTATCAGACAAACAAAATCCTGACTAAATGCAATTTGATTGAATGAGTAATAAAGCAATACATACATTTCTTAAGTGCGACTAAAAAATAAAAAATAAAGTAAATACAGACCAGGTCTGTAAGGAAGCAGATACTTTTACAACTCTGTGTTAACATTAAACAAATAGTTGTTCAATGTATGAAATAAAAGTTGCATTTCTTTTTTGTTTTTGTTCTAAGGGTCATGAAGTTGACCTGAATTCACAGTGTCCTAATCCAAGTTTCACAGCTCTCTTTATTGATTTTATCTGCTTAATATTGTGCGCTGCTTAAAGGTCATTTTAATTATGCGGTAAAATATTTCTGCAGTGAGTCACGGTTGTACATGTCTGCCTAAAATGGGATTTTCTATTAGTTTTGTGTTTTCTCCTTAATGCAGAACCGGAATTCTATTCATATTGGATGAATCACTGTCCTTGCTGAGAATAAGGCAGAAATAACAGATTTCTAACATATGCACACACACCACATAAGGTATATGCATGTGAAATGGTGTCATTTAAGTGTAGAGACACTGCAAAATGTTCCACATTGTTGTCTTACTTATTAATGAACTATAATTTACATTAAAAATAATCAGAATATTGAATCTCTAAGAGTCAGAATGTGGAAAGTTTTTTGAGGTATAATACATTTTTAAATAATCTTGAATTAATATGTGAAACAAAATCAATTAGTCAATCCCAGGAAGAAAGGAATTCTTAAAAAGTTGTTTCTTTATTCTTATTCAGTAATGCGCTGTGTTGCACTTCCCCAAACTGAAGTGTGCTCACTCCTTTGAGCACCTGAGGTTGGCAAACCAACTTAAGGTGCATTTACTGCCACCTACCGAACTGGTGTGTGCATGTCAATGATTTAGAACACAGCTCTAGTAACTCGTCATAGCTAGAAACGATCTTTGTAGGCTTGTAACGCTCCACTGTTCTGTAAATGTCTTTTTAAGTGGAGTGGTGCATCCTGTTCATACACGGTCTTCGGAGCGCCGGGTCCTCCTCCTCTCAGCTGACTCTGGAGCAACAAACCAGAACCCGCAGCTGCTGTCATTAAAGCCTTTAACCGGCCGGCGTTACAGTCTGCTCAAAAAAGTAGAACCGAATCATCGATCGTTTTTACAGGATGGTATCGTGTTCAGATTCACCTCGCGAGCGATGAATAAAACGCGCGCCGAGGGGACCGGACGGAGACCGGCGGCGGTTGTGTTTGCTCCGTGCTGCTCAGTACCGCTTCTCGGGCTCGTCAGAGGATGGAGCGCTGGTTAAGAGGGGATGGCAAGCCGTCCGTGTCCCGGTTTCTCCTCGGTCCTGTTCTCGTCCTCTCGCTCCTAGCGGTACAAGCTAGCTGTCACAGAACCTGCACACACAGAGTCCCCTCCGGCCGCGAGGTGAGCCTCGGCTGTATCTGTAACGTTCACTGAACAGTTTGTGTCGCTGGGGCTGTTAGCCAGCTAGCTTCCTGAGCTAATTAACGTTGATTTTATTAACTATAAATTCTATTACAGGATGTTTAAACCCAAATTGTATTGACAAATATGTTGTCGGAGAACCCAACTCCACATTCACACCGTTGTAAAGTTTTGTTTCTGTTCACTATAATTTGGAATTTAGCAGTTAGTTGAAAAGCTAAGAGGCTAACTAGAAGCTAATCTGTTCATCCAGCTTAATTTACAGCATAATTTATGTGTATTTACCCAATTAAAGCGATTATTCAGAAATTTACAATCAATTTATTAGCTCTAACTGTTCAATTTAAGCCTCACTTCTCCTAGCAACAGCAAAAATTATACGTCCGGGTGGGCATTTTCAGAATAAAAGCTCAACAAAGATGTAATTGTAAACCAGACATCTGGAACCTTTACAACCCAAAGAGCCGTTTTTATCCTAAATCCAGCAAATTAAAACTCATCTAAAACAAAACAAAACAAAAAAAATGTTACATGACCTTTTGACAAAGACACATTTTAGTTTCTGACAAGAATTTGTCGTTTTTAAAGAACCAGTTTTAACATTTGAAATGATGAACAACTTTATGAAAAAAAACTTGGCTACATTTCAATGGGATGAAGAAATTTTATTTGTGAATAAAGGATCTAGAAACCTAATGACAAGGAAAACCATGATCTGAATATTACTGGTACTTTCTGTTTTACAAAATTAATGCAAATCCATGTAAGGCTGGAAACCAGTTAAAACCTGCAGTTGGTATTATTTATTAAAAATATGTATTTATTGTACAGTTTGACATTTTGTGCTGTCAGAATTGTTTGATATTTTTTTTCTACTGTTGATTTTATGTGTATCAACAAATTATAAAACATAATAAAGTGATTAATTTTACATTTATGGAGCTTTGACTGCAGTGCCATTCTGTTACCTAAAATATTTTAAACTAGTTATACTTTTTTTTATTGTCACTTTTATAATTATTTCAATGACGTCCAAATATCTTCCTAAAGGTTTAACGCCAAACTGCCCACCTGAAATACACATACATGTAAAAGTATTAGTTTATAATTTCAGCCAAGGTTATTTAGAGCCTTTGTGGAAGGTCAGACCTCTGATCTATGCTAAGATTTTCTAAATATTATTTACAGATAGTGATTGCGAAAATAAGAGCACCAAGCTGGGTAGCTTAACATCGAGTACAAAACTTACATTTAAAACAAATGTGAAAGAAGAGCCGTGGGGTGGGTAACACTGATTTTCTTGTCCCTTAAAACACACAATGAAAAAAATAAACAATTGCATAACATTAAAGTTGCTGTTTACTTCTTTCAGGTTGTCCATCAAGTGTACTTGAAGCCTGAGCGGTTAGCGAAGAGAAGTTCTCCTGACGACCTGCAGCTAAAGATAAAGATCATCTACGACAGCAGCGTTGACCAGTGAGTTCAGCCTTAGCTTCATCTGGTTTAGTGACGTGAACTACAGCGGTGTACAGTGCACTGCAAAACTGTTCACACTGTTCTAAAGCTGCAGTTTATTACATTTATTTTAAAATAAATGTTTAAACTGTCACCATGTCCTAACATCTTATGAGACAAACAATCTGTGAAAATTTTGATCTTCCTGAGCTACCATTGTCATCTGAAGAAATTCTCCGTTCCCGACCAAAAACAACCAGTCGGAGCCAGGAGGCGGGTCTTAGCGCTGTCCATCAATCTTATGTACTTGCCACTAAATGTGCTAATAGCAGAGAAACAACTTGCCGTTACAGGAAAACCGTTTATCTTACAATTTGTCGGCAGTGGCAATGCTGACTAGGCTGAGGATTCACAGTAAGCGATGCTAGCTGCATCGTAGCAGAGTGCAAGGGGTGATGAGTAGCGCCACACAGAGGGTGATTGACAGCGCTAAGACCCTCCTTGTAGATCTTTGGAGCTCTTGTCAGATTATTTTAGTTCCAGAGAGCATAAAAATGTCTCTTTGGATTGTAAAATTGACTGACCCTGACATCGGGGGGCAAATGAAATGTGTGACTGCAATGTGATAAATGTGGGACGGTTTAACATATATTAATAATTTTACTAAGGCACCACATAATTTTTCTGTCGGTGGTTAACGTGCTCACTCTTTGTCTTCACAGACTTCCTGCTGACAAGCGGAGACTGGTGAAGGTGAGAGGACATCTGACCACATCCTGTTAAAAAAAAAAAAGGCTGCAAAGATAAAAATGTCTCTTGGTAGATGAGGATATAAACCATCAGTGTGATCTTTCTAACAGACAGCAGCATTGTAGCCTCTTGTGACGCGGTGATAATGTGACCAGGGCTCAGCCTGAGGCCTGCAGGAATTTTAGAGAATTGTAACCATTCAGTATGGTGCTGTGAGACTTAATTATATCACCAAAATAAAGCTGATTAAAGGGGATCTATAATGCTACACTTACATTTTGCTCATATTTGTATTTCTGTTTTTTTTCCCACTGCTTCTAAAAACAGCCCGTGTGTTTTTGGCAATAAGTTGATGTTTTTTTGTTTTGGTGTCTGTAAAATTATCAGTTTCAAAATCTTCCCTATTGTTAAGTCACAAATCAGCAGGAACTGCCCCTAACGTAGCAACCTCAGCGACCCAGCCGGTTACCTAGCAACTCAAGTTGAGCTCCAGCACGTTTACCGCAATTTGTGCTTTACAACGGCTGCTGGAAAAGACAAGTGTTTTGTTGTCGACTTACCACCCATAAACCACTTGCTGCATTCTCGTTAGTTGCACAGGAGGCTCTACTTCTGCTGTTCAAAGGTGTATGGTTGTATAGTTGCACGTCTTTTCGCATGGATTTTCAAATACGAGTGTAAACGTTGGAGCGTGGCCAGCAGTGGCTTATTTGTATTTAAAGTAACAGAGACCTGAAACAGGCCATTCTGATAGGAGCTCAAAATAGGCAGAACTGAGCAAATTGAAACATCACTACCTGAGAATGATTTAAAAAAAATTGTGATGAATATGTTTTGTACAGCCCACAGACCTATATTAAACATAATAGGTCACCTTTGAAACATTTTGAAGTGAAGTGCTGCACAAGCTAATAGTTGTACATATTCTCTGTGGGTTGTAAATAAATATCTGCATGACTTTAAATCAGTACATCATTAAATAACGTGGTTCGCCAATAAAGCGATGCCGCTTTTTTTAATTTTGGTTGTTTGGCGATTGTCCGACACTTGCATGTGAAACCGATCTCGTCTACCTCTGTAAAGGTCTGAAAATCAACCACTGAATTTTAGACCTTTACTGAATTCTTCCTCCATATTTGTCGACTTTTCAAACAAAAAAATATCGGTATCGGCCAGAATCGGAATCGGCAGGTTGGGCTTTTTAAAGATTGGCGATTGGCTGTAGTTTCCAGCTCTCTGTACGTCTCTCTTCAGGACAAGCTGTTTCCTCAGGCCATCGACTACCTGCAGAGGGCGTTCAGCTTGAGGCGCAGGGTGGGACCCGTGCTGCTCAGCAGGTACCTCACCATTCCCATCACCGGGTTTAGAATCGGGCCAACAGTTGGCAGATTTAGTAACTATGTTCATTTATTTATTTTTTTTAATTGGTGGAAAAAATGTCTTTTACGGTTTTAGCAGTCAAATCTGGAAATGCATCAGAAACCAGATAAACCTGTGCAATGTTTAATATCTCTGTCTCTTTTCAGACAATGTGCAACCAACCAGTACATGAGGAAGAGAGGTGACCCTCATCGATACTGCCAGGACGCCTGCGCAGACGTCACCCGGTGCGGTCCTGTTGTCGTACCTCAGCACCACCTGCAGGTCGGAAACAGCTGCGCAACGTATAAGTCCTTGAAAATACATTTAATGCTAATTTAAAGGTACTCGGTGCTAGAAAGTGGCACAGAACGGAGTATTAAAGCTCTCATTTGGTGTTGATGCCACTTATTGGAATGAAATGGATTCTAAGTCTGTTCTGCATAAATGTCTTTATTTTTGCTGAAATTGTGACTTTATTGTCCTAATATTACGACTTCTTTCTCATAATAAAAAAAAGTACACTGTTGCAGATGTTGCACTTAAGACTAAGAAATAATTGTGAATTTAGTTTTTATCCAGCTTAAGTAACTGTACTATTAAATGTTGAGATTATCTCCATGGACACCAGGAACTGGGTATCGACCACCAAACTTTATCTGGTTTATGGACGGCCCTGGAAAGTGGAGGGTGAAGGCATCAAAGAGGGTTTTTAACATTTCTGTTTGTTTCTCAGCAATGTAAGGTTTGCAGCGAGTCTGGGAAGTCCTGTGGCCCAGCGGGGCCCCCGGACGGCCCCGGGGTGGAGGGCTCAGACTTCGTGCTGTACGTTAGCGGCATCACCACCGAGCGGTGCGGACAGGAGAACATAGTGGCCTACGCTGCCTACTGCCAGCTGGAAGCAGAGCTGGACCGGTCAGCTTAGTTATCCTTTAACCTTGATAAAGTCCAGGAATAAAGACAAATCTGTACATTTTAACTCTCTCTCTTTGTGTGTGTGTATTTTTTCAGGCCCATCGCAGGTTATGCCAACCTGTGTCCAGCCATGATCTCATCTCAGCCTCAGGAGTTTGAAGGAATGCTCTCCACTGTCAAACATGAGATCATTCACGCTCTGGTAAGAACAGTTTCACTCATCTCTGACACACACATCACTCTGCCTGTCACAATAACACATTCTGCTGGACGATAAATTGTCCAAAGAAGTTATCGCGATAAACGATAACATTGGTGTTTTGACACCATTAACAGAATGTCTTCTGTACGCGGCTTTCCCATGTTCAGAACACATCCTCAAAGATCAATGGACTTTAAATTCTAATAAATATTTAAGACTGGAACTGGAAGACATTTTAAATATCCAAATAAACAAAACGACAAATAAAATGAATTATGAAGTCTCTGTAAACAAAATTGTCCTTCAAAAAAGGTTTAGCTTAGACCCAAAGCAGCTGCCTGAAAACTTTAGTCATCCAGCTTGTAGCAGAAAGAGAGAGAGAATAAACGATAAATCAGGCAAATGGACATTTTTCAGCTTCTTTTAATTTATCATGTCATTAATTGATATATTGCTTATTGCAACAGGCCTACCTATTAAGCTTAATTAGTTTCTTTTTCTTGATCTGCAATACACTTCCTGTTTACTTTTTTTCTGAGTAACAGGCATACAACACACTTCAAGTCATTCTTGTTACATTAGCCTTGCTGTTGTTGAGGAAGAAAGTTTCTCTCCATCAAAATCAACTATATCCCCTACTTCAATGTCTCTCTCCCCGACAGGGGTTTTCGGCCGGTCTGTTTGCCTTCTACCACGACGACGAGGGCAAACCTCTGACTCCGCGCTTCGCCAGCGGCCTTCCCGCGTTCAATGAGAGGTAAACAGACGGCCGATCTCACTCCGCTCCGCCAATTTCAGATCTTATCCTCCTGACACTGGCTGTGTTTTCATCCAATCAGCTTCACTTGTGTTTCCAGTCAGATTCCCCTCCTCTAACCTCTTAACCTTTGACCTGTTGCTCAGCCTGGGCCTGTACCAGTGGAGCGAGGCGGTGATCAGGAGGGTCAGCCGCCTGTGGGACATCAGAGGAGGAGAGATGGTGCGGCACCACGTCCACGTCCTGGTCACTCCTCGGGTCGTGGTAAGTCAGTAATTAATGATTGACTTTCATGGGGGCGGTCTCTAAAAGTTTTGGTTCTCTTTTAAAGAGGCGATATGATGTAAAATTGACATTTTTGAGCTTTCCATCATGTTATAATCTTCAAAAACATACCTGGAGCGTTGCCTTGATTCTTTCATGAATGTTTGAGAAATTCTTTAATCCCCATGGCAACCATTCAGCTGTGCGAAACGCCTGGGTGGACGTAGCTCCGCCTTCGAGGACGAAGCTCCTCCGAGCTGCATTTTCCAAACTCCTGGGCTTCTGCCTCTCAGAGGCAGTGTGGGGGAACCGTGATGAATTGATTATTGAAATAATTGTCAAATAATTGACTAATTGCCAATTTACGTATACACTCTCAAAAAAAAAAGTCAATTTGCAGCAGGAGCAGTATTAAAGCCCAAACTGTGTAATTAAGATTAAAAATCTTCTGTCTGTAAACATGTTCAAAGTGACGGTTTCAGCTTCACCTGGTTCAAATTCTGTAGACGCCACAGCTATTCAGATTCTTTTGCTATCCAGTTAATTGGTTAATCAAAAAACAAAAAGCAACAGAAGCTGAAAGGCTCTGATGTTAAAACTATTATCTTTTCCTACAAATGATCAGGCGTACACAAAAAGAATGCTATATTATTGCATTTTAGGCAATAATAGGATATTAACGCCTAAAATAATACTATATTATTATTATATATTAATATATAATGTAGTTAATAAAATTGTTTGCATGTTTTCTGTAGTTTTAATACTGTTTAAAATAAGCTTAAGTGAGCAAATGAAAAATATGCAGAATGTGCCATATTTATTTACTTTTAACTGATTAATGCTATGAATAATCGATAAATACTCATTTACTAATATAATTATTTTAGCTAGCTTTAATTTGTCAGTGACATAAAATCCCAGTGAAATACACTGAAGCCTCTGAGGTGACAAAATGAGACAACAGGTTTGACTGGCCTTAAAAGCGACGCTCTAGCCTCATTTTGGTTGCTCTTTCTTTATGCCCAGTGTGTCTAGAATTTCTTTTGTGTCCATTTTTGTTCTTTTTTCTGTCCATTTTCTTAATGGCGTTTTAACTGAACTCTGTTAACTTGGCAGAAAACCCAGTGAGACTCGGATGTGTTCAGTAATACTTCAGTTTGGTCTGGATGTCGTTTTGGCCGACGTGACGGAGTCACCGGGTTGTCTGTGTCGCTCCTGCAGGAGGAGGCCAGGAGGCACTTCAGCTGCCCCATCCTGGAGGGGATGGAGCTGGAGAACCAGGGCGGGACGGGAACCGAGCTCAACCACTGGGAGAAGCGGCTGCTGGAGGTCCGTACCTTCTGCCCCACTCGCTACGTTTTACTAAACCCCAAACAAACCCGACTTGTTCTTTCCTCCTCGTGATTCCGTACGACTCTGTCCAGAACGAGGCCATGACGGGCTCCCACACCCAGAACCGGGTGTTTTCCCGCCTCACGCTGGCCATCATGGAAGACAGCGGCTGGTACCGGGCCAACTACAGCCTGGCCCAGAGGCTGGACTGGGGCCGCGGCCTCGGCTGCGACTTCGTTATGAAGAGCTGCAAGTTCTGGATGGACAGACAGAGACAGAGGTGCCGTTTAGAATAAGAATAATGATTCCAGATGTCAGCTCTTGTTATTTTTACTGCCAACTCTCAGGGTTAATTTTTATGTAACAGTTTGGTGGCCAAATTTTCCTTACCAAGCAGTCTGTCATAAAAACTATCAGGATAAATAATCTGAGTTTGTTCTGCAACTTTTTGATACTTAAAGGGACAGTATTATGCAAAATTTACTTTTTTGAGCTTTACACAATGTTATAATGTTATAATAATCAAAAACATACCTGAAGTTTTGCTTTGATTCTTTCATGCATGTTTAAGAAATCCTTTAATCTCCATGGCAACCATTCAGCTGTGAAAAATGCCTGGATGGACCTACAAGAACAAAGCTCCTCCTTGGAGCTACAGATTCCAAGTTTTCTCATCTCTCCTCCGTGACTCCCCCTCTCAGCTCCTTCAGACTAGCCAGCATCAATTAGCAAACACCTGGTGGAACTGAGCATCTGCTGAGCTCATTATAGGAGCTAGTTCTCAGTGAAATGCTGGTAAAAATGTTGCTAATGGGTTAATAGAGGAGCCATGTTGTGGTGACTTTCTGAGAGCGGTGTTTCAGAAAGAGCAGGAGTTTTAAAGAGACAGAGGCCCAATTTCAAGGCATTTAAACTACGATGTAAAATCTTTCAAGTCATATTTTATACATACCTACTTGATTGTGCTATAAAAAATGACACTGTGTGGCTAGAAAACACATAATACTGCCCCTTTAATTTTTTCTTTTTGATATTTTCTGATCATGCTTCACTTTCTCAGTTTCTCCCTTCACTGTTTTTTCAGGCGGCACCCTGTGACCCCGTTCTGTGACACGGTGCGGGCCTCTCCTCTGCAGCTGACCTGCAGACAGGACCAGCTGGCAGTGGCTGTCTGCAACTTACAGAAATACCCCCAGCAGTTGCCCCTGGAGTACCAAGTGAGTGAAAAACTTTTTCCCAGCAACCGTTTCTCTGTTACTGTGCGTCTAAGCTTGACTTTCTAGATCGTCACTGTACAAATTTTCTAAATAACAGGTTGATATTCCCAAACAATAAATGACTAAGAAAAGACATTCCCATGTGCCTCGTTGTTTTGTCAGTATTTCGATCGGATCCCGGATGTTGCTGCAGATCAGCTGTCGTCCTTCGGGGGCGCTGTGGAGATCGCCGATTTCTGCCCCTTCAGCCAGGAGTTCAGCTGGCACCTCAGCGGAGAATATCAACGAAACTCGTACTGCAGAGTATCGGAGAACCAGCCGGGTACTGCTCACATCGCAAAGAAAGATGATGACTGGAATCTAGCGCTCTGAACATCAGCTGATGTCTGAGTAAAAGTAATTTAACCATCTGTGTGTGTGTGTGTGTGTGTGTGTGTGTGTGTGTGTGTGTGTGTGTGTGTGTTTAGACTCATGGAGGAATTATGGAGCGGAGCAGTACGGCCCGGATTCTGTGTGTCTGTACCAGAAGTCGGCCTTCGTCATGGAGCAGTGCACCAGGAAGATGACGTATCCAGACTGGGGCTCCGGATGCTACAAGGTGCTCTCAGTTTGTCCTCATGTGGTGAAGAACCACCTGGAGTCTGCTGAGACGTCTCTCATGTCTATATTTACTTATGAAGTTGCATAAAAAGTTTTGACTTTCGATTTAAAGTATGCTGCTAACAAAGTTAACAAAAACGTTTTGCTTTTTGAGGTGTGAAGAATGTAGAACGATTTTAGGTTAAGCAATAAGATCAAGAGGAAAAGGTCACTTTAACTTTGGACTGCAAATGGAAGTTCAAACTTTTTTTTTCTATTTTGATTCCAGCTGCTGGTAATGTCTTGTTGCTGCCACAGGTTGGCGCCAGTGCTTCGACTAAATTAGGACACTAATTCATAGTAACTAAGTGAAAGGCTTTCTCAACGTTGTGACGTCTCCCTGGTCCAACACACTTGAATCCAATAGCAGTCATAAGATGAGTGCAGTCAGGTTCTCCAGAGTCCTGCTAACGACCTCATTATTTGACTCAGGTGTGTTGAAGTAGAGACACACCTAAAGGTTGCAGGAGACCGGCCCTCCAGGCCTGGAGTTGCCCACCCCTGTGAGGGCCAAATTTATAACATTCTTGAACCACGGTCAGAGTTCACACCAAGCTGTTGCTGCCCGTCCTGCAGGTTTCCTGCTCGCCTCAGGGCCTGACGGTGTTCGTTCAGGACCGCTCCTTCCTGTGCGTGAGGAAAGGTCAGCAGCTGAGCGTCAGCGTCCGGGTCAGGGACTGGGTTTACAACGGGGTCCTGCTCTGCCCCGCCTGCACCGACTTCTGTGACGACTGCCCCCTGCCCCACCAGCTCCTGCCCATCAACGCCTCCCGGAGCAACCCCATTGGTCAGTTTCACTTGGGCCTTTAGTTACTAACACAGAAAGTTAGCGATTAATGACTTAATCTGCAGGTAACTGACTGCATCGATCGACTGACGATTAATTAAAAAAAACAAAAACATTTTATTTTGTCAGCTGTATTAAATACTGACAGAATAACATTAAATTGTGATTCTCACTAAACTTAGACATATTTATAAAACAGGAACTTCTTAGGTTGTTAAATAAAACAATCAAATATGAAAAGGATAGTTCAATTAAATTTAATTATTTAATCTTCCTTTGGGATAAATAAACTATTTTTTTAAAATATGTGAACCACTTATCTCCCCATGAACAGATACATGTTTATACAGATTCATTGCTCTTGAAGGAAAGTTAGTACATTAACTCAGGACAGCCCTCAAAATCAAACGTGTTTTTTCTTGTCTGTTTTCGTCATGTTACAATTTCCCCTCTGCGTTTCTGTCGCCACATCCTGACCTTTGTACCACAAAAGTCATTTCTGAATGGTAAGTGGACGTTGCCCCGCCATGCAGCTCGGCTAATTGAGCGCCATTAAGGTTAAACTTAAGGAGCTCCACGCTGGACTCTGTTCGGATAGTTTCTTTCCCGTTCTGATATGTCTCCGCCATCTTTAATTCCTGTGTCTGCTGGCTCCGCTTAAGAATGACCTGCGGCGCCCTCTTCTGGGCGGAGACCAAACTACAACACTAAAATAAGTCCTAAGCAGACATTAGGACTTAATCGACATTTAAACGTAATTCAATTAATTGTTTGCATCCCTATTAAGAACACAACATTAATTATCTGTGTTTGTTTGCTTTCAGATCCCTGCTCCAGTTCTCCAGGTCTGGCCATCACTCTCTGGCTCCTTCTGCTCAACCTGCTCCCTTTAGTGGCTGGACTGCTGATCTGCCACTGGAGCTGATGAAACACACACACACACACACACACACACACACACACACACTCTCACAATAAGGTAGCTAAAACTCTTCTGTACTGTAGCCCTCAGAGGACTTGATGACACACCTTGTTTTTCTTCTGTATTTGGTTTTCTTTCCTTTAACCTGAAGCTGGGAAAAAACAACCTTTTTACATCCCTGACTCTCTCCCTCTCTCTGCTCCTACACTTATTGTTTCCACCTTCGACTCAACGTTTTTCCTCTCAGGATCTTTGCTCTTCCATTCCTGTGTTTTCGGGTTTTTCCAATGACGAAACTGTCTGTGTCTCTCGATACCGTCTGCCGCAGACGGGTGTGTTTACATGCACTTCAAAAACCTGGTTACACTCTTTTCTTTCACATAGAGAACCCTGGTCACTGTAATCAGAATGTAAACACTGCAGACACACCTACACATTTCTAAAGGTTATCACTGGCTAGGGGAGGTACGCTTATTTAAATCTGGCAGCTTATTGTGGTTACTTGCACAGTTTTCCTTGCAGGTAAACTGTTCCTATTAAAGGGAATGTGCATGTTATGAACCAATACTTCTCTTTTCAAGGCTGCAGTGCGTTCATATTGATGTAAATATATAGAATTATTTAAAACTTAATAGATTTCTATCAAGTTAGTAAAGCAAAGGCTAGCTTGACTTTATATTTCATTCTTTTCTTGAATTCACGTGTCAAAGCGTCCTCCCCTTTTTGGATAAACGTTAACTGCTTTCGACACCAGCGTTCATATCTGGCATTAAAATTCAACCTGCATCATCAGAGCTCAGTTAATTACGTGCTTTTAGTCACCTGAACTGTTGCTGTTCAGTCACAAACATGAGTGAAATTCATCTGAATAACATTTTTGTGAAGTTATCTGCTTCCAACGTACACAAACAAAACATTCAGAACTTCACCCACACTGCAGCCTGTCATCCACTGATCAATCAAATCCAGAGTTCAAAACAGGTTCTCGCTCGTATTTTGGCCTGTCAGGATGTGCTAATGCTAGCAAACTGTCATAAGAATTTTCAGCTGCAATTCAGAAAGCCACTGAGATTTTATTGTCATTGTGGCTAGTTAGCATGCTAACCTCGTTTAGCAGCACAAGACGCTTCATTTTGTTTTTTGCTTTTAGATACTAAAGGAGGCCTGGCAGAAATAAATGCAGAACAGTAGTACTTGGTAGTTAGTGGAATACCAACGGACAGGTACAGTGACGAATGGTTTATCGTCCTGTGGCTGTCAGCATTTTAAATGGGCAGCGGCCATTTTGAATTCAAACTGAGTAGCCCTGAAACTCTGTTTCATGTCGGATTTCTAACTTCAAGAAGTGTTCAAACTAATCGATATTAATTAGTTTGACTTTAAGTACAGAAGGAAGTCACCATTAGTTGAACACAGTTCACTCATGTTTTTTGCAGTGCATGTAAACATGTTTTCATAACTCTTACATTACAGGGAACAGAATATTTATTGGATTAAAATAAAATCTAATTTTATTTAATTTGAACCCTCCCACGGTCTTATGAGACGGGGTCATTTGGACCCCTCAAGTTTTTTACCGTGCGCGCAGTCTGGCGAAATCGCACTGACCCCTGGTGCATTTTTACGATTTTTTTTTTCTTTTTGCCTACTGTGTAGTTTCGAGAACTGACGGTCTGACGGGTCGACTTCTGACCGTGACATCTGTCGCACTCCTCCTGAGCGCGACGCTGAGTGAAACACAGCGGGGTGTTCGTCTTTCTCCCAGTAGAGGAGGAACACGATGGGTGGAATCTCTCCAGCTTGAACCCATTATATATATTTTTTTCTTCAACCTCTCAATGCTCAGGTTTTATATTTATTTGTCTCCTTTCATGTTGCACTAGAAGTAGAATTGAAGATATCAACACTGCAGCTGGATTTCAAATCTCCTTTTGGACATTTTGTTTTGTTTTTGTTCATTCATCCCGGATGGGAACAAAGAGGAACACTAGAACATTTTTTTTTGTTTGTTTGGATTTTTACACTAGAACACACTCCTGAGGCAAGACCTGTGCTGTTTGGTGACCCCTGCTGGCAGCTGTGGGGAACAGTTTAAAGCTTTAGAATGTGATGCAATCTATCGCACAGAAACGTTTTAAATTTGTGAGGTGGAGTACCTGGTGTTTGAATGAATGACCTCTCTTGTTGTGAGCAGACCTCGGGTTTCTTTAATGAAGTCATCGAATGAATCTGTAGCTCTTGTAGGAATAAGCTGTTCATATGAAGGTACTCATTTTTTTCTGAAGCATGCTGAATTTCTGCTGAGCTGATTGATCATAAGCTGCTTTTACATACAAAGTCAGAACCTGGATCTCGTCACACTCAAGTTAACGGTGTCTTGGTTTTATGCGCCTCAGAAAATATTTTTTTTGTAGTCGAATCGGCTGATTAAAAACTACAATCACTGCAGCACTTTCTCTGACATCCCCTCAGAAGCTATTTAACCAGGAAGAGTGGTACGCTTGAAAGTTTGGAAAACCTTGGCATGCCTCGGCTACAGTAATTTGCACGTGCGTACTGCTACGTGTGCTACAGGTTTCACATATAAACCACCAGAAGAAAAACTGTTTAGCAACACCGTTTTATATGAGGGGAAGCCATGTTTGTGAAATTCCGACTTCAGGTAGTGTTATTATTAAATACAACCTGTGATTTCTGACTTTTGAGAAAAAAGAAAAAAACAGGCAGCAAAATTCCTACTTGGATGTTTGGAATTGAACACAAAACTCTGCTGGGATGTTCCAGTGCCAGGTAAATGTCTGAAGGTGCCACAGCGTAGCCATCGGTTCGACCGGTTTCCTGACATTTCTAGGCACATCTAAATCCACTTTTTGTTTTCCCGTCAGTTGTGAAAGTTTGCTTGCTCCATTTCGATTTGCTGTAAGCTGCAAGGAAAGCTACTGCTTTTTGCAGAATAAACGACGGTTGGTGATGCCTGTAGGTGTCTTATGGTGAAACTGTTCTCTTAAACTCTTGATCAGTATTCTTATTTCCTAAGGAGGGATTTGGACCCTCCAGTGTTTTCCTATATCTGCCTCTACTCGGGGTCAAACATCCTGCAGATGGACCAGGCAGATGTCGGAGCCACTGACACCGGCAGGAACGCAGCGGTGCTTCTTATTTTAACATGGACATCAAAATAAACTGAAGGACTGTTTTAATCAGCCCTGTTGTAACATTGGACATATCTACGGCAAAGGACGGTTTGCAGTTTTGTACATGATTGTTTTTAAAATGCAGCCAGTGAGATAAAGACCACTTTGTCTGAACTGGTCCTCGGTTCAGCGGCTAAAGTTTTTACGTTCACAAACCGGAGGAAGCTACAGCCAAACTTCTCCATGACGTGAAGTGTTCACTTCACTGCAGAACAAATGACCTTTCAGCTAAATGTCTGTGTTTTTGTGACAGGAGACTGAGAAATGCTTGTATGCTGTAAAGGTACATATAAAATGTTTTTCTTTTTTTTTTCTTTGTAAACTAAAGAAGAAAGGGTCGGAGTCGACTGTGATGTAATGCGCTTTTCATTGTTATCGGTAGTGTCAAAAACAGATTCAGTGTTTGTATGGTAAACTTTCAAACCTCAGTGACTGTTGGACCCTTATTTAGTTATCCTGTGGTTTCGTTGTCAGGTGAGGTCACTGTTGGCCCTTTTCCACTTGCACCTGCTCACAGCAGCTTGACTGGGTTCTGTGGTCCACCTAAGTGGAACCAGACATTTTTCTAGTGGGCACTAGTGGGCTTTATTGAACATTAAGTAGACAAAGAAAAAGAAAAAAAAAACAGAAGAGGGAAGTGGACGTCATCCAGCAAAGGTCCTGACACCAGGATTCAAATTCAGGGCAACGGTGTGACGTCTCCAGCCTCCTCTGCTCTGCATATGGTGCGCAGGTTCTGGCAGCACCAGCTCACTTTACCATAATCTGACCCGCCATTTTTAAAAAATCACAACAGCCACTGAACGGATTTGTGCAACACAATGTTCAACGTAGCTTCCATGTCCTCCATTGTTTATTTGTGTGTCGTGTACAGATCACATCACATTACTTTTCAGACTCTGGGACTACGCAGTTATGACAACTCCACCCACTAGAGTCCTGATTCAGTTAGTGGAAAACCAGCTGAACTGTGTTGAGCTGCGTTGCTATTGGAAAAGAGCCATATGTGTAATAAGAGTTTTCTGTTTTTCCCTCCCCTAACAAGTCAGAAAGTTGATGGTCTCTCAGATCAAACCAGTCGGGATTTTCATCCATGTTTTGAACAGGGGTCTGTCACCATGGCAACTTTGGACTCGCCTTTTGCTTCAGCAGAAAGTGCTGTAAGATGCTGACATTAAAATGGCTCCTGATCTATTGGTTACTCTGGGGAACAAACTAGACAGCCCTCTGGTCTTCAGTTATCCAATTTATAAAAATAAAGGACTGAATAACCAAATAGAGCAAGAATAACTATTAATAAAATCAAAAGAACTTGACAAATTATGCTTAAATGATCTTTATTGACTTTGAAGAAAATTCCACTCCCGTTCAGCACAGCTTGCTAACTCGTATTAATCTGCATCTCCGTAAAGCACTTAAAGAATGAACTTTGTTTTCTGAAGCTTGCACTAAACCAGAAGAAGAGCTGGCCTCAATAATGAGGACTTTTCTGATAAACTGTGACAGAGTAACCGAAGGATGCATTTGGGTTCAGCTCTTTATTTATTGACGTGTTTTCTCATGACGTGTCTCTGTGTGTCCTGATCAACGCTCTGGCAGCATCATGTCCACCAGAAGGAAACTTTGCCTTTACAAGCGCACATGTTCAGAGTCGAGCAGCGTTAGACGTTGGTCTCATCACTGTTGGCATTGTTCAGATGATCTGACCTCGGCCCATTTTCCTTCATTTATTTGATTTCATGCTTCTGTATTGACTGATGGACTGAGCTGGAAAAGAAAAATCATTTTGTTGTTAAAAATGTCATGGAAACATGGCGTTTGTGTTATTTCAGTACAGAGGTGAAAACGGGTGGAACAGTAAAAACACTTTTATTTCCTTTTTTTTTAAAAGGGCTGCCTTTATTACAGATAAAGGCTTTCCCCTTCAAATAAATGCTTTCCCTACCCCAGAACAATGAGTATTGTCTTATTTAAATAATGTCTCATGAAATTGGTAAACTTGCTCATAACTTCATAACCATTTAGTCTTCAAGTCTATTTGCACAGAATATTTCAGCATCGAGGCGGTTCAAAGTGTTTTACATCACATAAAGCAGAAACCAGCTAAGGAAGGAGAAATAAACGACACATTTTGTCACATGGCATTCTCACAATCAAGCAAATACACGTCAAACATATTGATCAATGTACCAGTTACAGTGAATCAAAGGAAGCCAATGTTTCTGCATCTTTGCAGTTTTCTGGAAGTTCATTCCAGATGTTGTGGTGCATAAGAACTGAATGTTTTGTATGCTGTAATAAAACGACCACTGAGCAGAAAGGATTGGGAAAGAATACTTTCTCTCTGTTCTCCTATCTGCTGCAGTTTTGAGTATTTTGTCCCAACTTGGGCAGTTTTAATCTATAAGCTCCGTGTTGTTTTGCTTTCACAAGTAACTATGGAAATCTACAGCCATGTTTCACTGATCTGTCTACAGTTTGAAATGTGACCCCAGTTCAGCCACAAGCTGTCGATTAAAAGGACCAATCACAACTCCGGTAGTTTATTCCAGCCGTTTCATCCCTTGAAGATGCTCTTTAGTACGTAATCTACTAGATTAGGAGTTCTTCTTCACAGTTTCCCCAAAGAATCACTTAAGATTTGCTTTGCCGCCAACTGGAACCCGACCCGTCGGATTTGACTAGAAGAAGTTCTCAGCCGTCGACTTTTGGTTCATCTCCACGTCTTAAGGTCCACCCTGTTGACCCATCTGGCTCTCCGGAGCGCTGACCTGTTCCCCGCTCTCCTTGATCCACAGGAAACCCACTTGGGTGCCGAAGTTGAGTCCGTCTCTGACGTGGGAGAAGAAGTCGTCGGGATTGCAGGAGGTGCAGGGCGTCACGGGGGGCCGGGTGGCGTCCATGTTGTCGTGGATGTGCTCCGGAAGGACGCCGCGCCGCTGGAGGAGAACTCTGGGAGCGGAGGAGCGGTGACGGTCAGCGACTAACGTACCGAACATACTCCAATTGTCTTTTAAGATTTTTATCTGTATTTCATTTTTTTTTTAAATCTGCTCACACAGTGTCATACTCTTTGGATTCGTACCTGTTGGCGAGGAGGATGTCCACGTGTGGCCTGGCCGACTCTGGATCAGGCACGCAGTCTGGGTGGATGGAGATGAAGTCTGCCGCCTGCTCTCTGTCCAGCGTGAAGCAGCACACCCCCACGGACGGCCCCACCGCCACCACGATGTCGCCGTACCGACAACCAAAATTCGTCACCATGGCGTCCACGGTTGCTGTGGCCACGCCCATCACCGTCCCTCTCCAGCCTGGGAATTGACGGTAAAGTTTAAATGATATTCGCAAGACAAGTTGACAATTAGAGGTTAGGACAGACTCGAGTAGGGAATGAAGCATGCTGGGAAAAAAAAGAAGAGTTAGTCAGAGAAGGTGATGTGTGGATGTGAAGTATTAAAAAGTAGCTGCGTTTCCATTGGCCATATAGTTGTGCAGTTTGACATTTCAAAAATTAATTTGCATAATGAATGCATGACAATTTTGTAAAAACTTGTTTTTTGATAAAAAAGTTTTGGTGCTTGGGTGAGGTATTGTTTTTGCTGTATGAAAATTGGTTCATTTTGCTAAACTGTAATGAAAATACTTTGTTTTGTATTACACGAGTCACATGATCAACAACAGGATGTTGCCACTGGCACAAACTCAGAAGAAGACGACAACAGGAAGTAGTTGGAACAGTAAGTTTCTTAATGGTGAAAAAAAAAACAAGTGACATCTACTGATACTAAAGAGGCAGTGTTATGTAAAACTGAGTTTTTCGAGCTTTACATCGCGTTATAATGTTATTCCCCTCGTCAAAAACTTACCTGGAGTGTTGCCTTGATTCTTTCATGTGTGTTTAAGAAGTCCTTTAATCTCCATGGCAACCATTCAGTTGTGAGAAATGCCTAGGTGGACCTAGCCCCGCCTTCTAGCCCCAGCTCCTCCTCTAAGCTGCAGTTTCTGAGCTTCTGCCTCACAGAGCAGCCCCTCCGCTTCCCCTTCTTCATTCAGCTCCTTCAGACTAGCCAGCAGCAATTAGCAAACACCTGGTGGATCTGTGCATCATCTCAGCTCATTATAGGAGCTACTTCTCGCTGATAAAAAGGTTGTTAAAGGGTTAATGGAGGAGCCATGTTGTGATGACTTTCTTAAGGCGGAGTTTCAGAAAAACAAGGAGCTTCTTAAAGGGACAGAGGCTCAATTTCAAGGTGTTAAGTTACAGTGTTTCAAGTCACATTTGATATGTATATAGCCTTTTTATAACAACTGGTGGTAACATTGTTATGTGATTGTGCTATAAAATGACACTGTGTGCCTGGAAAACATGTAATCCTTCCCTTTTCATACTGCACTTATGACTGAAAACCAATATTTACCAACATTATAGATATTTCCCTTTTCTACCTCATGAAAAATTACCTACTTTGCTTCTTTACCTCCGTTGTCCTACACTGCATCGACATCAGATGGCCAAACTACGTGACCAGTACCGCAGATATATCGTGCTTTTCTAACTTTGCTATGATTATCTGGGGCATCAGAGTACTATTCACCTGCATGCGCAGCCCCGATGACCTTCTTCACCGGATCGGCGAACAGGATGGGCAAGCAGTCGGCCCCCTGACCCGCCAGAACAACCCCCGTCTGATCGGTCACCATGGAGTCGTAGCTTTCCGGCTCAGGTTTCCCCAAAACCCAGACGTCGCTGGCATGGTTCACCTGCAGGACGCAGGTGTGAACAGGACATTCATGATGGGGAAGTAAACTGCAGACAGGGTTTATGATTAACAGGTGGATCATGTGCGCCGCAGAGGTTTCTTTTTGCAATAATGTACCTTGACCAGACGCAGGGGCATGGGATGGAAGCCGGCGTGAACGGCCAGCCGGCGCCGGTTTTCTTCCACCACGGCCCGGGGGTCCCTCCTCCTACTGCTGCTGAACAGATTCAAGGAGGACAGAGTGGGGATGTAGGAGACGCCGCCTGAACGGGTGCTGAAGCCGTGACCGAAGCAGTCTAAGAGACACAGAGGAGAAGGACAAGGTCCAGCTTTACTGACCAATAAACAGGCTCTGTAACTTTGCCTCTGACAGTACGGACGTTTGACAGCCTGTAGACTTAGTCAGGACATTTCATTTGAGAGAAAAAAAAAGCTTCCCAAATTCAAAACATAATCCTCTAACAATCGAATCCTTGGATTATTTGTGAGGCGGGGTCGTTCTGACCTGATGGTACCGTTTTTTTTTGTTTTTTTTTTTACCAGTATCAAGACATTTATATCTCTAAATTTTGCTACAAGTGGCTGAAACTCCTTGAGACATACATTGTAACATCAGAATAATAAACTAATAAACCTTTTGGGCAAAATGTAAAAAAACAAATTCAGTCATTTTGCTTTTATTGAAGAAAACGAACAAAACAACCATTGCCACAACTTATTTTAGATTTTTTTTATTTATTTCTTCTTCTCTAACACACATTTCTAAGTGAATCAACTAAAACCGACTGGGCCGTTTATCATTTCCACTGAATTGTTTTAACAGGCTGAAATAAAATTGGAACTTTAAGATTATTTGTTTTGACACGTTTTGAAGTTTTCATACATCTGTACAAAACGACACGGTTTTGATTTTAGTCATCGTTGGCTATTGTGTATTGCAGAAGTGAAATGAGCATTTTTAGGACATGTGCAGCTCAGAAGAACATGTGCATCACCATATGGAACTGGGAAGGTTAAAATAATTTCCCAAAGAGGTCATAGGTTCTGACGACAAACTGCTTCAGTTTTTGCTGTTTTTTATGGTTTCAGATCTTAGTAGGTTTAACATGAGAGAGAGAGAGAACCTTGGAAAATACAAAAGTTACCCAAAATCAACGTGGCAAATACTGTAAGCTTCATATGCAAGGCTGGACACTGGAGCTCTGAGTTGGGCTTGGAGAGAAACCTGCAACTCCACCAGTCACCTTTCTGATAACTTTTCCTATTTGAAGCTTTGGTTAACCTCTGACCCTTCACGCAATCATGCATCGTCAGTAGATAATAATATTTCCCCCCCTCTGTTAGTTTGTCTTGATTTCATTTTTTATTTATTGACAAACACAGTGAACTTAAAAAAAAGTCAAAGTTTTGTTGTGCTGCTCTTTTAAAAGCTCTGTCATGGTGGCAGCATCGGTCACCCTGGTGTCCACTGAGGTGGGCTTTATTGTCAAAACATACATTTTTATAATGGTCAACCTTAGAAAACGACCACTCTGGTATTTATCTAGATAATTTTTATTCATTTATTAGATGTTTTTATTTATTTATAATCTGTGCTGAAAGCCCCTGCTGACATGCAGCTCAGTTTATACACTAATCACATCATTATTAGAAATGGCTTATGGCAGTAGCCCAGGGCTCTGATTTTTGGGGGAGCGTCCAAAAAATGTTTTTCTTTTTTTCTTAAGTCCATGTTTTGTAAACATTGAACTTTATATAGATGTCATAGGCTCAGAATTAGTTAATAGTGAGTTTTTTTATTAATATAAACACCATTCAAATATTGGAAAATGATGGAGTTATCGTCAATTTCTTTGGGATTAGCACTAAGTTATTGTATAGGGGACGTTTTAAACCTACCGTGCATTGATCAGCTCTTGCTTCTGTCAATGTACTGTAACTTTTATTAGTAAAATATTTTTTCCATAGTGTTTAGGGCACCAAAAGCGTCTCCAGCCCAGGGGCCCACATCCTAGTAAATCCGGCCCTGATCAAAATGAGTAAAGTTACTATATTTTTATTATCTTTGATGCTACTTTGGTTGAAAAAAGGCCCATCAAATCAGGTGATTTTGTTTTTGTGTGATCTTAGAACAATAATCCACTTTACTGAAACCCACCTGGGATCAAAGTGGACCTCAGGGTTCTGATGTCCCCCTTCAAAGCGGGCAGCTGCTGCAGGAAGGCCGACACTTCTTCCTCCGCTTCACCCTCAGGTGAGTCCGTGTGGGCGGAGCCACAGCAGTCCGAACAGGTGAGCTTGTCCGCCTGCGTCACGTCGTAATCAAAGGTATAGACGGCGGTAAATAGCATCTCCTGGTACCGAGCCAGCACCTCCCTGCGCCGCGCCGTGGTCAGCACCCTGACCGCACTCAGGTCCAGATCATCCAGGCTCCGCTTGAGTCGGTACAGACGCTCCGCGGTGGACCCGGAGTCCAGGACGTGAACGCTCCTGTGGGAGCCCAGGATCGGGTCCGAGAGGCCGTTCTCTCGCCGGTTACTTTCCGCGCCGCACAGCAGAAAGACGTGCAAGTCCGCTTCCTGCAGCAGAGAGGCTCCGGGGCTGCAGCAGCTGCTGCAGCAGCGGGTCAGATCCAACAGCACGGCCATCCTCTCTCCGGGTGTGTGCTGAGCTCGGGGCGGCGCTCTGACTTTATAGCCGCGGCAGGGAGCGCGTTTGTCCGGCAGAATAACAGAGAAACTCCATCTGGCTGCAGAGGAACTTCCTGCGCCGCGTCGCTCCGCCCAGACTGGAAACCCCGCTCAGCCGCTGGAAATTCTCATCTGGTTGGTTTCCTCCTGCTGCTGCCGAGTGTTGCACCGACACTTACTGCAGGGCACTCAAAGTTTGCAAAACAGCAAAAACACGCTGCAAAGCGGGGCACCAACATGTAGAAACTACTAGGTTATGCAAACGTTTTCTTTAGAAAAACTGATCCATAGAGACACATCGGGCTTATTTAGGTAGGAAGCGCCTTGTTTTTCTTGATCTGTGGGATTAAAGTTTTTGTAAGCTACTCTAAGGAATGTTGACGTGTTAATACCTGCACTGTACGGGAAATGTATGACGCAACTATAAATGCCACATATGAACTCAAAAGTTATATTTATTCAACTTAGCTGATAGAAATTGCATCTTAGACTGTTGGCTTTCTGCTAGCAGGAACGACCAGGGCTGGGGTACTGCAGCTTTTAAAGGGGCAGTATGTACAATGACATTTTATAACAATCAAGTAACTGTTATCTTCAGTCATAAAAATGCTACATATGGGTCATATAATTGGGTCTCTGTCTCTTTAAGAAGCTCCTGCTCTTTCTGAAACTCCGCCTTCAGGAAGTCATCACAACATGGCTCCTCTATTAAAACTTTAACAATGTTTTTACCAGAGTTTTACTGACAAGTAGCTCCTATAATGAGCTCAGCTGATGCTGCTGCACAGCAGCTGGATGGAAAAAACACCCAGTGAGCATCAGTTGTGTGGACAAAAATGCAAGTGGGAGAATATGCAGATGGATTTGAGATGATGTGGCAAGGCAACAATTAAAGTTCTGCTACCAGGTCTAAAAAATACAACTTCTGAAGGAAGTTGACTGATTTCAGCTGAACAGAGCACCGTTGGGATGTGGGGATGGAGAATCTCATCATGGATGTGCAGCCTACAAAACAGCGGCGACGTCATGATGTTGTCTTGTAAATATGGACCAGAATGTCTGAGGGATGTTTCCAAGACCTTTTCGGCTCCATATTGGTTAGAATTAAAGCAGTTCTGACGGTAAAAGAAGCTCCAACTTGGTACTTGCAGCTACAACTAATGAGCGCTAACACAGTTTTTATGTCATCGTTAATCATCAGCTGACGGGTTTAACTTTAGGCAAAGAGATTAGGACTGCTCGCTATTAGATCGTCATCCTTACCCATGACAAAATAACTCGATGAAGACTTCAGTTAAGACAAATCTTCCTCACTCCTGGCTTTCTCGTGCCTCCAGCTCTCTTCTCTGACCTTTAACATCTTGTGCACTTCAGTTTGTGTCAACTCAATTCAACGGCATTTTGTGAAGACAATATATTCACGATAAATTGTGCAGCACTAAGTAAATATTATCTGAAGAGGCTAAAATATCAAATTTCTGTCATATATCTACCATCAGTGTTCTGTTTGTGGTGAAGTTCGATGTTAATAAAACCCACACCGTGCTGCTTTTGCTTTAGGGAAGAACGCAACTTCCCAAAATAATGAATGCAGTGGTCATTACATGCATCATGCAAGAAAAAAAAACAACACAATTCTGGTGCTTCACTAACTGTAACTGTAAACTCCTGAAGCATGCAAGCTGCTCTGCGCCGTCTGCTTCTCTCAGCAGGCGACTCCTCCAGCGGCCTGAGCCGCCGAGTCACTCAGAATGAGGAAATCTGGTGTGAGATATGCAGAGCTAACGTGGGAACTCGACCGTCTTACCTGCCCGCCAGGAGGATGTAGGAACTTCCCGGGGTTGTTTGGTCCCTGCAACATCAACAGTTGCAAAAAAATAAAAATAAATAAAAAAATTGCTGAGATTGCAAACCGGCATTTGAAAGAAACGTGAGGGAGACTTTTGGCTGGTTTATTTGCTGGAAAGACCAGAGCTGTACATGTGGTGACAAGGAGGAAGTTTCTTTAGTTTGGACTTGGAACATGACTTTGCACAAACAGCTCACAGTGGAGCAGATGGCCGACACTTCCCATCGGTTTGGAAGGCCCAAAGAATTTCTCAAGTTTTATGTTTTGCTAAAGTGGACTTGTGTTTTGATTTCAGCTAGTTCTCTAAAGTTGTCTCTTCTTATTTAAAGGGGCAACATTAAGCGTTTTCCAGGAGGAGAATGGCATTTTATAGCCACTTACCTTCAATTTTTATATAAAAACTCTCTATATATCAAATAAATAAGTTTGACTTGGTAATTTCGCACCTTGAAATTGGGCCTCTGTCTCTTTAAGAAGATCTTTTTGAAATTCTGCTTTCAGGAAGTCATCACAACATGGCTCCTCTATTAACCCTTTAACAGGATCTTTACCAGCGTTTTCACTCAGAAGCAGCTCCTATAATGAGCTCAGCAGATCCACCAGGTGTTTGCTAATTGCTGCTGGCTAGTCTGAAGGAGCTGATTGGGGGCGGGGCTGCTCTGTGAGGCAGGAGCTCTGAATCCATGAATCCTGAACTGCAAATTACCTCAGGTCCATCGTCCACTGAGATCTGTGTTCAACAGGAAGGCAAACGATTACTTGCATTTTACAAAACCCCAAATAAACTTGTTGTTGGACTTATATCAGCAACATCCCCAACCAAAGGGCTTTGTAACTGGAATATTAATAAAACACATGAAAAGCATAATTACAGCTGGAAACCTCATGCTGTCGTTTTGCCTTTTTCATCTAACCACTGGATTTTTTTTCGTCATCATTAAAGCAAATCTGCTTTGACAGCTACATGCTAATGCCACATAATGGAATTCTTGCTAAATTCTGATCTTTGACTAGGACATGACCTTTTGGAGGTTTTTCACTATTGACTCTTGTTTTAATGTTGTGCACATGAACAATATGCATTACTGAATAGAAACCAAGGAGGAATTTCTACTTCTCAGTTTTAAATCTTGAGCTGACCAGAGGTTTCCCTTCAAAGTTTTCTAGCATTCAGCACAATCCACATAATTGCATCATGGGTACTATAACCCACGTGATGACGCTGTTACTGTCATGCCTCTCTGTGGAAATTGTTTCCTCATTGTAGTGTGACATTTGCCTTTATTGAAGGGTTCCCAAGTCCAGTCTTTGAGATCTACTGTCCTGCAGCTGTTAGATGCATCCTTGCTTCTACACACGAATCAAATGAGCTAAAAGTGCCAGATGAGATTCAGGGACTGGAGAAAGACGGTATCTAAAATTCTCAGGATGGTAGATCTCGTGGATTGGACTTGGCCGCTTCTGCCAATGGCCAAAATACATCTTATCTGCTTCTTCCACTTGTTCTTTGGTAAACTCTAAGCATGCTTTTATTTTTAGGAACTTTTAAAAAAAAATGTCTTTATAATATGTTGTAAATTCGTGTGAATCCTTATTTGTGAGATCATCACAAAAAGATGAGACACACCAGCTTCAAACAGGGTTTGTTCTGTTTAAATAAATTAGTGCAAATTTACCCTCCAACATATAATGTAGCCATTAGTAAATCATGCATGGTGTGGATGTTCATGAAGGAGTCCATGTTCAGGTGGTGTATGATGTAAAACATAAGCCCCCAAAGTACAACTAAACCCAACTTTGATCAAAGTGAAACCAGAACCGAAGCAAAGCCAGAACCCGAGACCTGTCTGCTATGTGGGGGAAGTGTGACCAGTCCAAGATATTACATGATGTTCTGATTAGACTGGGAACACTGGACCCTGGTTTTTCCTAGTCAGCACCTGATGTCTGGCTGTTCCCACCTCACCTGAAAGAGTTATAATACCAGGGGTCACCACAGGACATTCACCCACTCATCAGCCGGTAGGACTCAAGGCTGTGCCAGTGGAACCTATCCAAGGTTCTCTGGTCTGCTTATCATTCAGACGATATCTTTTCTGTTTCACATAGAAGAATGGATTACAGATTATCTTAAATATACTTAAATACTTTATTTCTTTTATTGATCTCTAACCTGTTCTTGCCTAGAAGCTTCTTACAAACCTCTCTGGAAAACTTGTGTAATACCGAAACTAGAAGCTTGTAGAGCAGATGTACATCTATACCACGATCATTCTAGGAAGGACGTAGACACATGACTTCTAGAGACGATCAGTTTGTACTGTTGGCGCTTCAGTGTTATGTTCAAGCAGCCTTCTGCAGGAAGCCGGGTTCAGAAAGTCATCAGGAAGTCGTACTTTCTCCAAACAACCAGCAGAGGTCACCAAATACCCGTTTCAGATTTGAAAGATCTCCAGGTTGGTCTTGGGCTTTTAAACTTTCACTCTTTTCATACTAGCAATTTTTTTTGCTCTACCATGATGCACAATCTGGGTCAAAGCTAACTGTTAGCTGGATGCTACGCTCCACGCCTCACTACTCAGGTTTTAGTCCCAGAGGAAGTTTGTGGCGCCGCAGCAGGAAGTCCTTCTGGTGTGCTGCCCTGAACCGCAGCTCCCTCTGGGACGGAAACTTCCTCCCATCTTTCTTGTGAAGGTCACAACGCTCTGCTGATCAGGAATTAAGCGCCATCTTCATCGCTCTTTGCTGTAAAGTTGATCAACTCAGCTGATCAGCACGGTCTGCTATGAACAACAGAAGGAGAATGTGTTCATCTGATTTATTCTGACTAAAACCTCCTGTAGAGCCGAAACAAGACTTCCTAATTTCTGTTTCCCGTAGAGCTACATGTGTTCAGAGTTTTAGTTTCCTAGCTGCTCTTAGCAACTGGAGCAAACCAGAGTTAATCTGAGGTATATTTTTAAATAATTAGCATGGAAGGAACTTCAGTTGCGTGAACAACCTGTTGAAGGTCATGTCATGACAGCTCAATCAAAGTAAAGTTTAGACTTTGATTACTCCTAAACTTTATTTTATTTTTTTACCAATCAGAGATGGACTTGCTGATGCGTCTTTCTATAACATTAACACTTTTTTTTTTTTACGATTAGCTATTTAATTATTGTTAAGCTGATGGCGTTTTGACATAGAATTGCCACGCCAACCATAACAGGACAGGTTGAAGTTTAAGAGGATCTGGGCTGTTCAGCTGAAGCCAGTTTTGTCCACCACAAGTTTATGTTACACTTTCAGATGACAGTAGGTTGAGAGTTGGCCACACAACAGCGAGAGGCCTCGTCCACTTGATCAGATTTCTTCAGAAGCAATCTTTGCACTTTGTGAATGGTGAAAGACAGGATTTAGTAATAAAATCAGAAGAGACCTGAGGAGATCAGGACATTTAAACAGGACCACAGAATAAACCAACAGAGGAGAAATGAAAGCAGGGACCTTAAAAACAGAAGAAGTGTTATTAGTGACATTTGAGGCCACATGGGAGCATTTTCTCATTAACGTTTTTAACCGTTTGTTCCTCTTTAGCACATGGAAGCAGCATCTTACAGCCCACTAAAGGTATGAGTTCCTGAGTAAAAATTAGTTTTTGTGTGTTCATGTGAACAGTGAAATCACAGACGGATGGACCCAACCTCTAACCCGACCTTTAACCCTAAACGCCTCTTGCGCTTCATAACAACAACAATGGTGTATTACATGTTTGTCGTTTTGCTGCAGAATCTCATTAATCCACTTCAGTCTCTTTATGCTGTCCTACTGGAGTGAAAAAAGAAAGGAAGCTGAAGGATTACAATATGTTTCTGCTTGACGCACCGTAGAAATTATGAAAACACTTTGGGTCAGACCAGAGGGAAGGACACTTACAGGTTTTGGGAGAGTACAAATAGTATTTGGACCATCCCCTGTGTTCCTGCATAGATGAAAACAGTTCTGGGTCCATGTGGACGAGTGTTTTTGTTTCTGTTTTAAACCGACAACCCATTTTAGAAAAAAAAAAAAAAAAAAAAACATTCCTGTGGCCAAAGCCTGAACCAGAATCCTGCAAATCAAACTGAATCCCACTGGAAAGAGCTTCCACTGTTTCTGACACCTGTTTTGGACCAGAAGGTTCAATTTTGGGTTCATTTGACCAGAGCATCTATGTCCACTATGTGGCCTATAGCGAACTGCACCTCACTTTATAAAACCCTGGTTTGCCCCATTTAACAATTAGATGACCACTTAAGATAGCTGGTTGATTTTATTAGAGCTCCAGCTCACAGTTATTGTAGTTATCGATTTATTCTGACGATTAATCAAGTAATTTTATTTAAAAAATGACACATTCTGCAGATTTTGTCTTTCAGCCACTTAATCTTATTTTATACTGTATTAAAATTATGTACAAAAATGCAAATAAACAATATATATTTTTGTAAGTAAATAAACATTTTATGCTCTAAAAGGACCAATAGCCTATCAAAGGATGCATCCGCAGCTAAATAAATACATAAATAAGTATTTTCTGCTTCAATTAGCATCAATACAGAGTAGTGCTAATCTGTTGACCATTACTTTAATTACCCAATTCAAACCTTGACAGCAAAATGTGCCTAATATGAGTATTTTACAAAATTTGAACCAGGTGAAGCTAAAATGACACTTGAGTTCTGGGTTGAACATATTTACAGACAAAGAGGTTTTTGATCCATAATGCAAAATATATAAATTTTGTGTACAGCTTTGGCTTAATTGTTGCATATTTTAGAGTCGGAACACTCCAATTAATGATTAATCGATTGCTAACTTTGACGAGTATTTCAATAATCAGTTAATCACGATTAATCAGATTCATTATTTCAGCTCTATAGATTTTAATTACCAGAGTGAATAAATTTGCGCACAAGCCATTGGGAAAAACCGTGAATTTCCTTCTACGTCATCAATATGTAGTTATTTGCATTGGTTTTCTACACATCGTCCCAATAACACGACGTAGTTTTAAAATGTTAAATCATTTAAGGTGCATGTACTTTGCCTCTTGTCTAATTAGTCATTAGCTGCGTTATGTCGTCATGTAACCCAGCTGACAGTCGGTCCTGGCTTCTATGGGTCGGTACCGGCTCTCTGACAACCAGACCCCCCGGACCGTCGTGCACGCCTGTCGGTGACGCGCCTTCGGGCTCCCGGTCCTGCACCGGAGGCGGCGGCAGCATCTCCATCAGCAGCAGCAGCGGCGGCAGCGGCAGCAGCTGCGGCGGCTCGGTGTCTCCCTGACTGATATAAATCCCTGGGAAGGACGGAAGCTCACCGAGGATCGGCGTCCGGCTCCACCAGCACCGTTCACGGATTAAACCGCGTTGACGTGCCGCTTGTTCCGGAGCTCCTGTCGGGATCAGACCCGGTAAGAAGCTGGGTTCCTCTCTCCCTCTCTTTCTCTCTCTATGCTGTGATTTCACCGGTTTATGTGTGTGTGTGTTTTATTATTATTATTATTTTATTATTATTATTATTATTCTCCTCCTGCTCGGTGACACGCTGCTGTTACTGGAGTCATCAGCAGAGCCCAGTTCTGCACCAAGAAAACCTAAAGTGAGGATGAATCGAACCTTTTATCTTTTTTTTTTTTTTTGCTTCCAGTTACAAATTAGAAACCTTATTTCTTTTTTAATGTCATGCAAATGCGGAAGCAGCGACCGCACGCTGCTGTCTTTATCCTGCACACAGCAGGGGAGCCAAACAATGACACGCTCACAGTTGAGGAATTGTAAACTGATTTCTGCTCCAAAGTGCAAACTTATCATTTTTAAGACATAAAACGGAGCAAAAACGTTACAAAAACAGGTGAAAATAAAAGTGACCAAACAGTAGAGGAGGACA